ATTTTATATGTTATATTATTTAATTTATATTTTATATAACTTTTGGAAAAATGTATGGATCAATATTATTATTTTTTATAAATAAATATTGATATACCCCTTTCATCTGGCACGCTTTTTTTGTAAATCGGATCATACCCCTTTAACAAGGGGGGTCAAAACTTTAAACATGCTTATTGAAGCTGGGACATTTTCAATTTAATTTTCGAAAGTGTTCCAGAAATACTGACACTTTTATATATATCTTAAATTAAAGCTTATGTAATATTTTTAATTAAAAAAAAAAAATTTGACCTCTGGATTTGTCTTCATTGTCAAAATGACTAACGTATTCAAAAATTTGCTATTTTTAACACGCTTATATTAGTTTCAGCTGTATGTATGTATGTATGTATCTATGTATGTTTGTAACTCTCCAAACGCCACGCGTTATCGCATATTCCGTCGTCTAGACTAGACTGTTATACGCATTCACCCCTCCCCACGCCTCGCTCACCGTACGACGGCACACTATTCCTATAAAAATTTATTTTTAGTTATCGTACCCGTACACGCGTGCTTGTCATCAATATTATATACAGAGTGTTCAGTAAGTCAGGAAACGGGTATCTATTGTTCTCATTGTTACAAACAATGAGAACAATAGAAACCCGTTTCCTGACTTACTGAACACCCTGTATATATAAAAACAAATTTTTATTTTGACTGACCAATACTGCTCGCGTTTAATGCGCCTTACGTATATATATTTATATATTCCTACCACCGTTTATACCTCAGGTATAACGTTAGTCCGACCCGCCCGCCCACAAAATACGGTTATACCTAGTGCATGATACGTTTACGTACTTAAGTCGCTTTACTTGTATATATATATATATTCTAATTACTATTAAAATTTATTTATTAACACGCTTTATTTTAATTAAGAGATATAAAGTATTCATTCCGATTACGAGGGATGATTTCCGTATCGTCATTTTTCGTCACTACCTCCACGTTCCGGGAGTGAGTAATTTACGCGCCTGCTGCTTTCCTTGGATGTGGTAGCCGTTTCTCAGACTCCCTCCCCGGAATCGAACCCTAATTTCCCGTTACCCGTAACAACCATGATATTGATAGTAACTACTATCATAACATGAAACTAAAAAGTAAAAAATAAATATAGTTTAAAAAACTAAAAAAACACGCTTTTAAAGTACATCGAACTAAAAAGTTAAAAATAATTTTTAAAATAATTATGAACAAAAAATACTAGTATTATTGTGATAAAAGCGTGGGTGCTTTGTGTCATATTTTTCGTATATTGAGCGCCCGACGCTTTTATCACAATAATACTAGTATTTTTTGTTCATAATTATTTTAAACTTATTTTAAAAATTATTTTTAACTTTTTAGTTCGATGTGCTTTAAAAGCGTGTTTTTTTAGTTTTTTAAACTATATTTATTGTGTTAAAATTCTGGTTTTTGTATTTTATTTTATTTTAAAATTCCTGACAAGGGGAGTACAGATTTTCATAAATATTATATAAATAAAAAATTAATATAACATAGAAAGTTAAACTTATTTAAATTTTATGGGTTTTTGAAGTCGAGAAAAAGAATTTTCAATTTTAAATTAGCTTAATAGCCAATTTTTTAGCCGGCGTTAGCGACGTACGGTCGCCGAGTCGGTCAAACTTGTGTCTACGCGCGTGGGGTACGAAGTTCCAACCCGCGTATGGCCATGAATTTTTTGCAATTTTTCTTAATTCTTTTTAAGTTAGTATAAATTTTTAACTCGTTTGATTTTTATCTCATTTAGATTCACTGTAGTCGCCACTCGCGAGAAGAAATTTTTTATTCATATTAAAATTATTTTACTATATTTTAAGTTTTAGCTTCGATGCAAAGCCGAGAAGATGTATTTTTGTGATTATCATTTATTTTCTCTGCTTTAACTTGACCTATATTTTTCAACGATACGTCAAATGACTACAATTCGTATCTAGGTTGAAGAGTTTACTCTCAAAAATTGAAAAAAAATTCTAATTTATCAATTAAACAGTTAGTTATTCCATGTTCTCCATAAAGACAATTAAAATCATTCATTTTTAATGTTTTCAAAGTATTTATTGACGAATGAAGTTTGATATGACAGATTTCAACTACAAAATTAAATCATTTTACTTTGTAATTTAATAATTTTTTTACACTATATGTGTATGCTACTACTAAACTATAATATTCCAAATTTTTAACACGCTTATATTAGTTTCACCTGTATGTATGTATTTATGTATGTATGTATGTATTTATGTATGTATGTATGTATGTTTGTATCTCTCCAAACGCCATGCGTTATCGCATATTCCGTCGTCTAGACTCTAGACTAGACTGTCATAACGCATTCACCCCACCCCACGCCGCGCTCATCAAACGACGACAACACTATTCCTCTGTATAAATTTATTTTTGGTTATCGTACCCGTGTGCTTGTCATCAATATTATATATATATATAAACAAATTTTTATTTTGACTGACCATTATCATCCGCGTGCATACGGCTTACGTATTTATTCCTACCGCCGTTTATACCTCAGGTTTAATGTTAGTCCAACCCGCCCGCCCACAAAACATATAACATATAAAAATATATAGGTAACAATACCTAGTGCATGATACGTTTACGTACTTAATTCGCTTTACATGTATATACAGGGTGATTTTTTTATCATAACCCACACAATTACTTGCAGAATAATAATAATTTAAACATTTTTTTTTTTCATTATCTTTAGTTACACATTATTCTTGAATTTTTAACTATGTAATACTTTTTAAGTTCATCCCTTATGCCTTGGAAGGGGGTCAACTTTGTTTTTTTAAATGGNACCTTGGAAGGGAGTCAACTTTGTTTTTTTAAATGGTAATACATATTTTTAATTTAATAAAATGTTTGAGTTTTTAATTTAATAGTAAATGGCATTTGAATTTTTAATATAACTTAATTCGTTTATTAGATATAATCATTTCCCTTTACCCGTTACAACCATGATATTGATAGTAACTACTATCATAACATAACACTAAAAAGTGTAAAATTAATATAGTTTAAAAAAACTAAAAAATCACGCTTTTAAAGCACATCGAACTAAAAAGTTAAAAATTATTATTTTAAAAATTATTTTTAACTTTTTAGTTTTTTAAATTTAAAAATTGTTTATTCAGATTACTACGATTATAAATAGGATACAATTAATAATAAAAACAATTAGTGATGGGCATTTTCAAATATTTTAAACAATCGATTAACTATTCGAATTGTGGTTATACCACCGAATATTTTAATTTTAGCATAAACTATCAAATATTTTAAAAACTATTCAAATAGACTATCGAATAGTTTTTGAATGACTATCGAATAGTTCGATTGTTACTATTCGATATTTCCCATCACTAGTAATGACTAAAAATCAAAGTACTTGTATTTATTATGACTTTACGAATGATACAATTATCATTCTTTACATTAATACCACCCTGATCAATTTTATTTTTATTTATTACAATAATATATTTACTTGCTTAGTTGACGTAGTTATTACGTCAACTGTAAACGTGTAACGTTCAGTATTACATACAAAAATTAATTTATAATACTGATCGCTTTTAAAAAAATAACATTGTTTATTTAATTTTGTGGCCTTCTATATATATAAGATGATTTTTCAGGACAATTTTCAATTTCTATGCGATGCTAAGAATGTTTTATAATGGTGTGCTTTTTTTGTCTTTCTATAAAAAATCTCAATTTTCACTAACCAATTATAATGATCTATACTCCAAGAGAACCTAATTTTAATTTAGTTAAACTTATTTTAGCTGAAAATTGAAAAAAAATCTCAAGTTTTGTAATTTAGGAAAACATCTTAAAATTATGCAACCGTAAAAAATTAGTTGCTTTTTAAATCTGCTATAACATTTTTTTTTAAAACAATGATTCTAATGAAATTTTTAATGGGACAATAGTTGATAAAATTTCTTTTGAAAAAATTGAATTATAAACCTAAATAAAGGAGGAAGGGTTTGAATAAAACCATTCACGCATACACTAAAAATTTGCTCATTCAATTTTTGGGAATTTTCTGGAAAGTCTAACTTCTTTAAACCTATGTCAAATTAAATCTTTTGAAGTGTACTCAATATTAAAAAAAAGAATTTCCGACGATTGTTTTCTATAAAAAATTGCAACTTTTTAAAAAAAATAATCGAATGAGCAATTTTTTTAATCTTTTAGTTAAAATTATTTTTAAATTAATCTATTAAAAACTTTAACAGATATTGCGTTTATGATAGTGATCACTGTTAGATATCTCCCTAAGTTGGTTTTTTTTTTGTAATATCATACTTAGAATTATTTCTGTATTCAAATACTATGGAAAACTAATACTATGACATAAAATAAAATAGCAAATTACTGTTTGTTTCCACTATAGAATTATCTTGATCTTTTCGAAGGTAGAATCGTCATTTAAATTATGTAACTATACTTTCACAGTTTGGACTTCATTTGACATTTTTTTGTTATCATGTTTATCAAATAACAGATTAAGGTGTCAATACTCAGTAAATTGCCTAACTGAAAAATATGCAACTACTGACAACAGGTGTCAAAAACTAATGGAAACAATCATTTTGAACAAATTTGAAACCTTGAAAAGATTTCCTTCAATCCGTTATTCCAAAAAAATTATGATTGTTAAAATAGACAAATTTTCATATTTTGTTATTATAAATTATCATTAAGGTTTTAAGAATAAATAAATCAAACAAAATTTTTTTAGAGCTACTTTAGGTATTAACAGTTCAATTTTCTATTCGAATCTTAAGTTTAAAAAACTGTCAAGTTATCACGTGCTTATCTCTTATCTCAAGGCTCTAAAAAATACAAACTACCAACTTAATTAAACATTTTGCTTAACAGAAATCGCTGTTGATCAAAAAAATAAGAAATGAGAATTTGCTTACTATTTTATTCGGCATATTTTCTTTTAATTTATTTAATATTATTTTTTATTAAATAGTGTACCCTAATGTTAAATTTTTGAATCTGTTAAGTTCTTCTAATTTTGACTAAGCACTATACTTCACGTGTTTTTTTAAGAACACACTGTTTTCTGTAAGTTTTTTTTTTTTAATAAATAAACAAAATAAAATTTTATTTGGATTTAATATACCAATTTTCGCAGTTTTGTGATTAATTTTATTTAAATATATATATTTTTTTATATTATTTTATTGTAAACATCGATTTATTATTTTATTTTCGTTATCATTTTTAGCTCATCAAAAATGAATGGAGAATGCAAACTAGAATACCGCGAAGCGGATATTACTCATGCTGAACGTATGAAAGAAGAAGCTAATACACATTTTTCTGTTAAAAGGTATGCAGAAGCTATTGAATGTTATACTAAAGCTATTGTTATGTGTGAAAGTTCTTCTAATAAACCACACAATTTTGCTGCATATTATGCTAATCGAAGTTTTGCATATTCTAAAACTGAGGCATATGGTTATGCATTAGCTGATGCTTCTAAAGCCATTCAACTGGATCCTAAATATTTGAAAGGCTATTATCGAAGAGCAACAGCATATATGTCACTAGGGAAATTTAAAGAAGCTTTGAAAGATTATGAAGTTGTTGTCAAAGCTTTACCTAATGATAAAGATGCTAATCAAAAGTATACAGAATGTAATAAATTGGTTAAAAGACTAGCCTTTGAAAAAGCTATTTCTGTAGAAGATTCTAAAAGTGTTTCTGAACAAATTGATCTAGAATCAATGTGTATAGAAGATGATTACAACGGTCCAAGCCTTGAAAATGGTAAAGTTACGCTTGAATTCATGAAAGAACTTATCAAAACTTTTCGAGAACAAAATAAGTTGCATAAAAAATATGCTTACAAAATTTTGTTGGATGTTAAAAAATATTTGGAAAAACAACCAACTCTTGTTTACATTAATATCAAAGATGATGAAAAGTTTACTGTATGTGGTGATATTCATGGACAGTACTATGATTTATTAAATATTTTTGAATTGAATGGATTGCCATCAAATTCTAATCCTTATTTGTTCAATGGAGACTTTGTTGATCGGGGATCATTTTCTGTTGAGTGTATATTTACCTTATTTGGTTTTAAACTTCTTTTTCCTGACAAGTTCTTTATGTCTCGGGGGAATCATGAAAGTGTAACCATGAATAGAATGTATGGATTTGAAGGTGAAGTAAAATCTAAATATTCTGTGGAGATGGCTAATTTATTTACTGAAGTATATAATTGGCTTCCACTTGCTCATTGTATCAATAAACGTGTATTAGTTATGCATGGAGGACTATTTTCAAAAGATGATGTTACACTTAAAGATATAGAAAATATTTATCGAAATAGACAGCCTCCAGAAGAAGGATTAATGTGTGACATACTGTGGTCAGATCCACAAGATGCATCTGGACGATCACCTAGTAAACGTGGTGTTGGTGTACAATTTGGACCAGATATCACAAAAAAATTTACAGAATTAAACAATTTAGATTACATTATACGTAGTCATGAAGTTAAGGCTAATGGATATGAAGAAGCTCATGATTCAAAGTGTGTGACTGTATTTTCTGCTCCTAATTATTGTGACACTATGGGTAACAAAGGAGCATTTATTAAACTTGAGGGTCGATGTCTTAAACCCAAGTTTACAACTTATACAGCTGTTCCACACCCACCAGTAAAGCCTTTAATGTATGCTAATTCTTTAGTAAATCTGTTTTGTTGATGAAATAATTTTTTTTATTATTTATATACAAGTTATTAATGTTAATTTGTTTGCCTAACATAAAATAAAATGCATTTTTTTTGTAATTTTTCTTTATTTTCTTTATTTTTTTTATTTTCAAATTTTTTTTTTTTTAATAATCAAAAGAAATTTAAGTAGGTTTAAAATACATATTTATACGAAAAATAAACTTATCGTCGATGCCTGAAAAAATGGCTTCAATTGGGATTATTTGGTATTTACGCCATGAAATTGCAGTCAGTCTGAGTCAGTTTCAGATAATTGAAGATCTTCATCTAATATTCGTCCTGGATCTACTAAACGTCCTTTAAAACCTTAAACAATATTAATAAAAGTAAAAATTTCACTGACTATGTTACAGTTGACCTACCATTAGTGTTTGAAGAGTTCAATGTAGGCGTAGTTTGTTTAGCTACATGTTGTTTAGAAGGAGGCGGAGTTGAATCATCACTATCACTGTCTGATGAACTGCTGGAACCAGAATCACTAGACGACTCACTTAGTTCTAAACTACCAGCTGCTGGTACTAAATCATCATAGGCCTAAAATTAAAAAATTGTTAAATGTTTATTAATATCAATTATTTGATAAATTATTGGATACACATTTTGTGAAATCAAAATTTTTACATACATTAGACCTTATAAACGGATAAATTATTTTTATTCTTACTCTACAGTATAAATAAATAACTTTCTTAAAAAAGTAGTTTAGTAAACAAATATTGGTGAACAAAGGACATTTTTTTTAAAACATGGTTATATTGAAGATACAATGTAATTGTAATAAAAGTTAAACTTCAAATTTATCCCATTTTAAAGTTAAATATTCATAAAAATATTATTTATATGGAAGCATCATGATAGATAAATTAAAAACTATGATTTAAAAAGAAAATCAATTCATATAGTGTTATACATATATGACAAAGAAATAAATTTTCTTTTCAGTAAATAAATTGGTAAAAAAAAATGTTTCTTAAACTCTATGATACTACTGGAAAATGTTAAAAAAATTGTTATCGTCAAATTAAAAAATAAAATATTTAAAAAAAGAATTTCATAATTTAACATTCAATAAACATTGTTAAGTTTTAAAACGTTTATTTATGACTAATTTATCTAAATTTAAATTATTGATTTTAAAGATGTGAATACAAAGAAATTATTTAAAAATATATGGATGTATGATTATTCAAGGAAAGATCTAGGTTTATATTTAGAGAATGTTTCAGGGAACAATAACTTTTTTCATTTTGTGACAATGTTGCAGGCGTAATTGATTATATAATTTAAAAAGTAATAAAAAAAATCAAATAGAAGAAATTATGTTGCACCTGGGAAAATATAATATGTGGCATTTTGTATAATAAATAAATCAATAACTTTACACTTATTGCTAGACAGATTTACTTAATAATGATTATAAAAAAAAAAAAAAAAATGTATGTAAGAATGCACTGGAGTATTTTCTCCAATGTATCAAAAAAATTACTTCTTGTTTCATATCCGTTTTAATTTCTGTTTTAATATCAGATAATGAAAAACTAGGATGTGCTTGAGAATCAAATCCAGTCATTGAGCAATCGTCATCATTTAATAGTGGAAGACTGGAAGACATTGGAGATTCAGACCTAAAAAAATCATTAACACTTTGTTATTAAAAAATATAATTAAATAATTCAATAGAAGCAAAAAATTATATACCTAATTTAATACTTGAAAATTAATAACACTTTTGATAAAATTTTTAAAATTGTGTATAAAAAAATATCTTAGAAAATACTAGCATTCATACTATTTTAAATTTCCAAAAATAATTTTTTTATCCTAAATTTTTTTCCTTCCCTGTAGATAGGAATTAAGAATACTTTTGCCAGTCATAAGAGGCGACTAATGAGATTGTGTCAGGTAGACAGTCGGCAAAAAATTATTGTTAAAAAAGTATGAAGAATCCTGAACAAAACTTAGGCGGATTGTCTCATCTAGGATGTACACGGGGACAACAGAAAGTAGTTGAAAACGGAGAAAGCCTAAGAAATAAAGTGTTTGATACCAGCCAGACAACTTCTGCGGTAGCTGTTGTGATATGAGGACAGCTGATGTGAGCGTAGAGGATGTGGGAGATCGTGTCAAGCGGAAGTTTAGGATAAAGGTGGCTGACGCCAGGTAGTTGGGATTAAGGCAAGGAAGAAGAAGAAGGTCCTATGTTTTTCTATATTCTTACTATAAATAGTACAAAGAGCAAACAAATAGGTTGCTGACAGGAATTTTTTTTTTTTAACATCTTTATAGAAAAATACTTGATCTACCCTCAATTATAAATAATAGTTACAATTCTTTAAAATCTTAGTAAAAATATTATTAACTTACATAAAAAATTGTGGAGACTTATTTACATGTTGAGCATTACTTGGTGGTGACAAATTAGCCACTTTAGGTGATTGAGGAGTTTTCTTAGGAGACTTTGTTACTTGTTTAATTGGTAAACTTTTTCCTTTAAGACGTTTATCTATGTTGGTAGGTCGATTTTTTTCAGATAAAACTGGATTTATTTGCACAATTGGCTTTTGTGATTTTTCTACAGCATTTCTGAAAAATTAATTCATTAATCAGTATTTTAACAAATCATAATTATTTACAATTTAAACTAATATCATCATATAATTAATTACCTAGTTGATTTAAGTTGTACATTATTAGTAAGTTTTTCTAATGTTATTTCTCCAGTTGCATGGTCAATAATTAAAACACATTCTTTAGTGTAGTCTTTTTGTGACCCTTTGTATACAGTATGAGCTGTGCCAGCACCTTCAAAATTAGGTACTGTAACTGTAACTTCACGAGTTGATGGACTTATGTCTACACTTGCAGGCTTATTTATATCTATACTAGCAGGCTTAAAATCATCTAAATTAAAAAATAATAAATCTTTACTTAAAAATGATAATTTTTAAATTAAAATATAATATTATACAAAAAATGGTAGAACTATATAAAATAGTTCTATAATAGATAAACTAGTTTTACATTTATTACTTTTAAATCTATAATAAAAGTTGATTTTCTTTTAATAGCTGCAAAATATTTTTAGTAATCAATAAATTATATTTTAAGTTACACCACATAATCAAGTAAATTTAATAACAAAAACTACAATTAAATCAAAACATTTTTTTTATAAATTTAATATATTTAATTCACAGCACTTTATACAATATTGAGTGCAGCAAAAAATTTACCCTTATGGAATGATTTACTTACATCGAAGAGTGTGAAAACCTGGACCTTTGCCGGAAAAGGTTGAACCAAACTTGAGTTCAGCTGGCTCACTACCAATAAATCCTAAAGGGTCTGACGACTCATCGTCCATATCTAAGAAACAAATTTGTTGAAAAGCCTTTAACAAGACACTCTAAAAGTGAACGTGATGATGTATTCAAAAAAGTATTGATGAAATCGTTATCATAAAGTCTGATGTAATGTGGTTGCGTTTGGTTTTTTTTATGATTAAAAAATGTTAATGTTTTTATAATTCTATGACTTTAAAATATTTAAAAATGAATTATTATTGCATTTTTTAACTTCTGATTAAAGATAAAACATTAGTTATTATTCTTATTTTTATAGATACATTAGTTTCAAGCATTATATTACATTTTTGCTAAACACAGTTTTGTTAAAATTGACATTTCGAATAGCGATAACAGTAGATAAGGAAAATAAAGAAGATAAGGATCATTATAAAAGTTTATATAATACAATATTTCTTTAAGAATAGCAGTAGCAAAAATAATAGTTAAGCATTTTCTTGAATTTCTTTTACTCATTTTGATAATCAAATACTTTTATTTTTACCTATAAAAATCTAAAGGATTTTTTCGAAATTATAACTTTATATTTATTTAGAGTTGAATATGATTAGTAAATAATCTGATATGTATAATAGAATCTATTTATGATTAAACAAGTTTATATAAATTTTTACAATGTTATTTATATATATATTTTGAGATTAAATACACATGTTTATTTAATCTATGTTTAAGAGGTGCTTTTTAGGGGGACTAGGTAATACTTTCACCTTGATTAGATTCATTTATGACTTTGTAACTAATGTCATTTTACAGACTACGTTTTTAACTTGATTTGTAAAAATAATGCCCAAGTTTGAAACATTTCACAGTTTTCTATTAAAAAATAAAGTAATTATAAATTTTAAATTATCATTGAATTAATTATATTTTCTTAGAGAAGGCTAAAAATTTAGATATATGTCATAGTGTCATAATTGTTAATTTTTCTTATAATTTCGTATTATTATTTAGTATTTGAATGAGTCATAGATTTTTTTTATTGTGGAAGGATTTAGTTAAAAATTTGGAATTGAAAATTCAATGATGCCTGACTAAAATATCTGATATTATTAAATAAGTTTTTAGCACAAATTTTATGTTAACAATTAAAAACAAATTTTTTTTTTCATTATGAATTTTCAAAAACTGTTAATAGATATCTATTATATAATAAGATATTAGTATAATTGAATCAACTTAGATGGATAACAACAAAACATACTTGAAATAATTTTTAATTTTAAAATCTAAATTTTAAAAATCTACTTAAAAATCAATAGGTTTCATGTGTAGACAATTTAATAATTTCCTGAGTAATCATATATCTTGAAATTTCATTAAATTTATTTTTTAAATATTATTAAGAAAATTTTCCAATAGTGTGCTTTTCTTGCATTACTATCTGTATTTCAAGGTTTATAGATATTATACAGATGTTCAGTTAGTAAGGAAACAGATTTCTATTGTTTTCATTGTTTATAAGATTTTACATGTTTTCTTACTTACTGAACACTATATAATATTTATACACCTTGCCTGAACCTGAGTTTATTTGTTATTTGAATAATTATCATAGTTGTACCTAAGTTCTTTCTACATTTTATATTTATATATATTTTAACTATAGTTTTTTCCAATTCATCTTTATCCATTGATAACAATAATTACCTAAGGATTTTAATATCCTAAAATCTTATCATCTTTGAATTTTAGAATCTCTAGCAAGCATATGTAAGGCAATTAATTTTTTAATAAAAATGTATAGTTAATACGAGGATTTTAAAAAATGTCATACAATAATTTTTAATTTATTTTGTAGATTACATTTTACAAAAAAATTATGTATAAATAATAACAAATAAAAATAATAAACAATTATTTTACTTATAATTTCAAGAAAAAATAATGCAAAAAATATAATTTTGTAAGGTATAATTTGTATATATACAAATTAACTATAAAGCAGATCACAATATTTTTCATAGGCTGTGTATTGGATAATGTTAATCACAGTTATCTACTCAGGTTAGATATCAATAGCAAAAACCATGCCCATAAACAATGAATCAATAAACTAACAGCACTAGTAGTACTGGATCCATTATTTTTCATTGCATAAGTTGAATTTATGCTGAAGTCTTTCAACTAAATTAAGATTATACAAAGGAAAACTTTCAATTAATGGTCCATACATTAACGCTTTAAATAATTATTAAATTCTTCTAAAGTTTTAGTAGTTTTTGAGCATTAATTTTATTTTATCAAAAATTCTAAAGGTAATATAACTGTTACTTGCAATATTAAATTGTTTTTCAATAAGATAAAAAAAATGACTTCAAAATAAGATACCAAACTAAAACTAAATTTTTAATTAATTATTTAAATAAATAAATAATTTTCAGTATAATGATTGGTTGTATTATAGCATGCCTGTCTGATTCCAAGTATATTAGTTTCCTTTTTAATTGATGAATTTATGAGTTCATAGAATTAACTTCACGTGAAGTTAAAATGTTGGGAATGTTTATAAAATCACAAATTTTAGAATGATCATTTTTAAACTTTTTAGCAGTTGGACAAAGTAAATGTCAGTTGGAGGATTTCTTCTTTTTTTTTTAGCTTTGGAAAGATATGCTGGTCCAGGGAAAATTGAAGGAACTGTGTTTTCTTTCAGCCTAGATATCTTACATGGTACCTGAAACAATATAAATGATATATTAGAAAATATAATAATAATAATATTATATTTATATTACAGATTTTATTTTATAATATATATATATATATAAAGTATAAAATTATTTAAAAAAGTTTTTGTTGTGTATTGCATACAATAATTTGTTTAGTGGTACTTACTTAAACAAGCATACTGGTTCGTCATCATATTCCCAGTATCGAATGATTCAATTACTTGTGAAATGTTTTTCACATACACAACTTCGGTCATTAAAAGTGGTAATTTTTCAGAGTTCAGGACTTCGTAGAGCAGTAAATTGAGATAATATTTCTTAGTTTATTAGTCGTTTTTACAACTAACTATATAACATTCAACGATTTTATTAGTTAAATTTCACAAATTGTTCGAAAAAATTTTAATAATGACTTAATTAATAAAGAGACCTTATACTACCACAGATAAGATAAAACTGATTTATCTTATTTGTGATACTACTATAGAGTATTACTCTATGGGTACTACTAACACAGAATACATCTTATCTATTTTGTGCTAATAGTACTATTATTGTTGTTAACTCGCACGCGCGCCGTTGGTAATAGGCAACATTATATAGGCCGTCGTCTATTTTAAGTAGATAACAATGTCGTTGATTAATATAATTAGTTTAGCACCTGCTCTTTTTTTAAGACGTGGCTAGACTTATTAAAAAAAAAAAACAATAATAATTTTAAGTAAATGAATGTAACAAGAATTTATTAAATAAACAGATGACATTGGAAAAATTTATTCTGGAATTTATACAATAAAATCATTATTCGAAAAACATTTCCTGATTTTGAATTATTTGTTTATTGTTCTTTAATAATACAATAAAATCGAAAAAATTTTTAAAAGTTTCTAAATCACTAATTTTATCTAGAAATCTATTGAAATTTTTTAGAGTCGTGGATTAAAAAATATTCGAGTACATTTTGTCTAAACAAATCAAAGATTACAAATATTTATTAGTGGTTACAATCAATATACATTAATTGTGTTTGATAACATTCTCAATAAAATTGTCATGTCAACCTATAGACATTATCATCAACAACAGATAATATGAAAACATAATTTGTGTGTCAACTTTGAACTAGTGTGATAACAGAGAAAAGAATAAATTAATAGTGATATAGTAATATTGTGTTAAATTTTATTTAATAATTTTTTTATGCTTTAGATTTATTTAATTAAAATGTTTAAAAAACTTAAAGTAACAATTGGAAAAAATGAGGAATCAAAATTAAAACCTAAGACAGGCAACCAAGTAATAAATTCTTAATGTTTTGTACAATTGGTATTTTTACTATTTTTAATTATGTAGGAATCGTCTTCATGGAGTGGATTTTCTTCTGTATCACCCAATATTAATGATTCACAATTCTGTATTGATGATGAAACAGATGGTAATTTGAACTCAGTTTTATTATTATAACAATATTTTATGACCCATGATTATTTCATAGATACATCTAAAGATTCTCCAGCACGTGTAGCTGTTAGTGAAAGTACTACTGTTGATCTCAATAAATTTAATCAATCTTCATCATCTTTGGTAATAGATAATCACTCATCATTTCATGTAAGTTAAAAATATTTTTCATATTACTTGAAAAAAATGTATATATTACCATCTGGAATCACTATTCTTCAATTTTAGACTGATTTAGAATCAGCTAGTGAGTTTGATGATAATGTTAGTGTTGTGTCAGAGTATGCAAATGATATTACTAAAGAAAATTTGTATGCAGCCTATAAAAAACTTTTTGGACGTTATTATAAAAATAAAAATAAGTATCTAGAATTAAATAGTAAATTTAAGCAGATGCTATTAACACATGATAAAGACAAAGTAAGACATTTAATTAATATTCTTTGTGTATGTTTCATTTATAATGAAACTTGTGAATTACATTTTAAATTAGATAACTATGACAAAAGCCCAAGATAAATTACTTCAACGAATCGTTGAGCTTAAAGAGCAATGTACTCTAGAACAGGCTGCTAAAGCACATATGGAAGAAGCACTGAGAAATGATATTGAAGAACGTGATCATATAATTTCTACTTTAAATACTAAGGTACTGAATATTTACAATTATTTCAAATAATTTACATGATGATTGATTAAGGATAAGACACTCATTTTCTCAGAAACTAAAATAATATGTAATTAAATAATTATTTATTTTATCCCTCCAGAAATAATAATCCTTAATTTTAATATTATTGAATAGGCAACCTTATTTTTAGTTTGATTATATGAAAAAGTATTTGCAAACAATTTAGTTCTAATAATTATTTTTATCTGATTAACCTTTTTCGTTTTAAAATTGTTTGAAGATTTAGATTTAAAAAAGAAACTCATCATTAATTTAGTTTTCGTAATACCTAAGTCAACAATAATCTGTTTGAATAGGCAATAAATTATTATCAGTATTTATTCTTGCTATCATAAGTGACATATATGATAACAAGAGTTATAATTTTTGATAATTATCAATAAAAAATTGTTAATGTGACATTATAAATAAATGATGAATACTGTATGTTAAACATCAAATTATCAATAGAAAATTGGTTTAAAATCACTCGTATCACAAAACTCTATAATAATATATAGTTAAATAATTTTTTTTCATGCCTTCAAGGTTAAAAATATTAAATTTAATTTTTTTAAATGTAAATCATTAATTTTAACTTAATATTAAGATAGGAAAATAAGTTACAAACAATTTTGTTCTTACAATTTTTTTTATATGATGAACCGTCCATCTGTTACAAGCATTTTAATACATAGACTCCTTCCTAAATTGTTTCAGCATTTAGACTATATAATAACAGATTTACTATATATTTCTCCCAAAAAGATATAGTCGATGAAATTATGGAGTCTCATAGAGTCATAACTATTGGTGTTATTTCTATTAAAATTTGTTGTCTTATCAATCCAACTAAAAAAGTTTTAATATTAAACATCTGTTCATTCATACCTTATGAATTTATCGTAAAAGAAATCTTGGTATTATCTCTACAATGACAATACTCAATAGGTATTAACATGGCTGAGTACAGCCATATTCTGAGTGGTCGTAGACAAGTCTATTTAATTCTGAAGATGCTGAAAAGCTTTCTAACTCATTAACTGTAGTTTATAATGGTATTTAATTCAGAATATTTTTCTTAGACGATAATGCCTTTTGTTATTTATGTTAATCTATATCTCATATTTTAAATAAATGTGACAAGTATAAATCTAGTTTAAACATTAACTCTTCACACACAAAACATTATAGCTCAAACAACAAGTATAATGAAAAGCTTTTTTTCTACATTTTAACTAACCCATCAGCTAACCTTGATTTGGATATAAACATTACACAGTTATAAATCTAACACCACTTCTTGCTGAAATGCCAGTGTTCTTTAAACCTCATCATCTTCAACCACATCATTCAGATATAAAACCGCTATTTAAAAACCCGTAAAGATATACCATATGGAAAACCAGCCAGCTCAGACTCGAGTCCATTGAATTATTTATTGAGAATCTAGACAAATTACTTGAATCAGAAAAAAACATTATTGACAACAATCTTAACATACCTATTAACTGCATTTAATTTAAAAATATAATTAAACTTGCACCATTTAAGTATGGCAAAGATGACATGTCCTTGGAACTACTTAAATATAGTCTTGACTATACGATAATGATTGAACTAATGGAAAAAGTTTGGCCATCACTTACAAAAACACATATTGAATGAAAAGAATTACTACATTTTACAACCATTTATTTAACCAATTTGTTAGTATTTCCTCACAACAATAATCTTCAATCATTTATTTACTTATTTTTAGTTTTAAAAATAATATAACTTGCATATTATTAGTTTATGAAAATTAATTTTCAAAATATTATTGTAAAAATTAGCAGTATATGTTTAAAATAATATTGTTTAATTTTGCTATTATCCCTCAAAAGGGTGTGTTTAGTTATAAAAGGTAGTTCCCAGGTGATATTTTCATTATTTTTTACCAATAATTTTTAATTGCTAGAATGAGAAAAAAAAATTGCACACACCTATGTTATTATTTTTTTCCTTAAGTAGTTATATAAAAAATAATTTACAAATAAAGTTGTTAAACTTCACATTAATAAGTTGAAATTTTATTTAGATTGATCTATTAAAAAAAAAAGATGAAAATGATGAATCTGATACATCTTTATCAGATGTAATAGAGTTGCAAGTAATCAATATTTTTTTTTGCTTTAATTTAAACTTTTATAGCCTAATATTAAAAAAAACATTTATTATTTTATTTAGGAGAAGTGTAAAAAGTTAAACAATGAACTTATTTCATCAAGATCTGAGTGTGATTTGTTACAAAAACAAATAGAAACTTTAAAAAAAAGTGAAGAAAATACATTGCTAACATTAGCTGAAAACAAAAAAGAAATACATAAAGAACTAGAACTAAAAGAAGACCAAATAAAAAAATTGGAAAAAATTATAAATGGATTGCAAATGGAAAATAAAATTTTATCTAAAGGTATTGTATGTTAATGATTTGATATATAGTTATATTATTTTCTCAGAAATTAAGTGATGTTAATGTATTGGTGACTATGGGTTTGTTATAAGGGCCATGCTCTCTCTCAAAAATTTACAAATGTTCAAAGTTGTAATGATTTAAATATAAAAATATTTTTGACTATAAAAATAAGAAATGGTTATTCAGGTAAAGAAGCGTACTAATGTAAAAAAAAAAAATTGATTCATAAATATTACTTTCAAAAAGATACTAGCCAATAAGATTAATCTTGACTAGGTTAGAATTCAAAACAATAGATATTATTAAAATATAAATAATTTTACATACATTAAATGCAAAATTTAGATATTATGTGATAAACAATTAACTATTGAATCATTTAGTGTAAGTATTTGACTTCTATACATTTTACACATTAAATAGCAAATCTTGGTAGTAAATTTTATTGAGTTTTGATTATAAGTTTATTTTTAAAGGTTTTTTGAAATAAATCAAAATTATAAATTTTAATGTAACTCTTTTCCTTCAGCTCCAGTATAGGAAAATGTTGTAAATTATCTATGTTTAATTTTGAAAGTGAGTATTTTTAAAGATAAACCAAAACGATTATTTTTATTTTCTTTATTATATCATTAGGCTAAATTTAATACATATTTAATTGTAGTAAAGTAAAAATGGTTTTATTTAATGATGTATGTGTACATTAGGGTATATTATTTTATTTTTTTGCACATCACATTGTATAGCCATAAATTGACTATAAATAGAAAACCAAAATAATTATCCAAATTTTTTTCAGATTTTTATTTTGTTTCTTTAATTTTCTTATTTGCATATGACTATATAATAACAGATTTACTATATATTTCTCCCAAAAAGATATAGTCGATGAAATTATGGAGTCTCATAGAGTCATAACTATTGGTGTTATTTCTATTAAAATTTGTTGTCTTATCAATCCAACTAAAAAA